CAGTCGCCCCGGGCAAAGAGAAAGGGCGCGGGGGGTGTGGGGGGGGGGGGGGCGTCTAGCAGCCTAGAGGAAGCTGGGATTAGGTAAGTAATTCTGCTTTATTCCAGCCCCTAACCAAAAACATGCACCTAACTCTTGCAATGCAGGGGTAGGCCCACTGGGAGGGTAAGTTGTTTATTTGCCTGGAGTAATTCTTTAAAGAAAACCAGTACAGGGGGAACATGTTGGCTTCTCCTTCTATTACGCCTACACATGTTTTTCTCAATACTGATTTTAATGTACAAAGTTAAAAATGTGTAGTGGTTGTTGATCTCTCCTTTTTACCGTTTTACTAGACAAATCAGCTGCCATTTTAATCTAATGGCTTTAAGACTTCTTGAATCACTGACCTTAGCAAGTATGCAGATCAGAAGTTTACCTACATATAAAATACAGTAGTTCCCCAAAATCTTTGCCATTCCCAGTATTTACATTTGCTTGTTACACTGTGGAACTCACTCCACATAACTAATCCAGTCATCTCTAATCCTATTCATTAGCATGTCTCAGTTTCTGAAGCTCCGGAGGTGGCTAATATGCAAATCTCCTAAATCCAGCAAGCAGAATATGTTGTCAGTTCCTGCTCTGCTTTATCATCACTGTGAGTCAGTGGGAGCTGCTCAATGTCCTCCTCCACTTTTAAATCATCAAGACTAACTCATAAAATACATAACTACTACTATATGGAAGCACAGACTCAATTTAGACCTGCAGGCAATACCATGCCACATACAGGTCTATTTCTTTAACTCTTCCATTTTTTTCTGCACTGTTTGCATGCCAAGCTACCACCACTCTGTATATGTCTGTTAGGGTTAGCGCTATAACATACCCCTGATGAGAAGATGGCGGGGTTCCCGCTCTCCAGCATGTCCTCCAGCTCTTCACTTGTTGTGGTTCTACCGGCTGTGAAGATACCAAAGCTTATATTGCCATTTTATACAACATGAAACAACAAATAACGGGTATTTGTAACTGATTAGGAATAATGCCAATCATATGTAGAACACAGATGTTGTTTGTATTGTTTTTTGATGGTGGATATAGCTATACTTAATCTATGTAACTTGAACACATACTGGCAAATATTTTCCTATTCCTGGATCATGGCCTTTGGAATGGGGGCATTAAATTACTTTGGATTTGGACTTTCAAGCTCTGGACACACTCCTCTAGAGGAAGATGCATCCTTTTGGCACTCAAAGGCAAAAGAGGATGGGGCAGGGTGGGCACTGCTGTGTAAATCTCACCAGTGGAGCCACTTACAGATTTTAGAAGTCAGTTGGTTTCCTAAATTTCACCTTTACAACATGTGAGGTAAATATTACTTCTAATTGGACCAACCCTCTAAATGAGATGATCACCTTCATAGGCTTGTACACACCTAGAGATTTTCCACCACAAAAGTTATAAGTGAATAAAAGTTATTGCCAAAGCTAAACTATATTATTATTACTATTATTATTATACAGGATTTATATAACACTAAAGGTGGCCATACACCTGCCGATTATCGTACGATAATCGGCAGGTGTATGGGCAGCGTGCGACCGCATCTACTGTATAGTCGCGCGACTTTCGTCTTCCAAGCACACTGGAAAACCTGCCGAAAATCATACGATTTTCGGCGGGTTAGTAGCGTGCTCGGAAGACGAAAGCCGCACTGCCCGCTCAGCATTGCAATCATCGGCAAGCCCTCCCCTCAGCGGGGAGGGCTTGCGATGATCGCAAGTACGATCTGCCTGTCCAAGAAGGGCAGGTCGTAGGAAATTTTAATGACCTTACAACCATCGCACAACGAAAGTCGTGCGGTGGTTGTAAGGTGTATGGCCACCTTTACAGTTTGCACGGTGCTTATCAAAATAAAGGGAGAGTACAGTTAAAATACGATTTAACACAAGAGGGTTAGAATGGCCCTGCTTGTTGGAGCTCACAATCTAAAAAGGAGGGACAAGTGATACAAAAGTCATCAACAATGAGGGATGAGCCGATGGAGAAAGTCAGAGTATTGTTTTTAGGTAGAGGTGGGATAGACTTTCCTGAAAAGATGAGTTTTTACATATTGCCTAAAGGCAGACAATGTATGAGATAGCCAGACAGATTGGGGAACAATATGTGGGGAAAACTGATGCTGTTTTACCTGCCAAAGGATTTGTTGCTCTATAAATTGAGGCCTAAGGTTTACACAAGCCTGACACTCAATACAGCCAGGTGGCTAACACCACTTTCAATATTACAGGCTGTAGAAGGGGTACAGTGGTGTCCTCTTGACCACCCCCAGCCTGGTGACTGGACAGTAAAGCAGGTGCTTGCTGATATGGTTGTCTCTCTGCACACTTTACTCTCTTCTCCTATCAACATCAGCACACATCCATACAGCACACCTGATTGGCTTCCAGGTAGGGATACACCATAATGACATTTTTAGACCAAAATTATTTAATTTTTATTTATTTTACTGTTAGGGGCTTTGGGGAAATTTTGGGGGTGTAAACAGATCCAATATTTCCCTATTAAAATAGAAAAACAGTTTGAGGACACAGAGTCCTAAATCTCTTTTTCTGCAGCCCCTGTTATGAATGAACAGGAAGCCTGTGAGTGCTCCTGCCCATTCATAAACTGAGGAGATAGTATCAGACCGTTACTATGTACACAATTATGAATGAGCAGGAAGTGATGACGAGCACTTCCTGTTCATTCATAACTGGGGACACAGAAAGCCTACTATGTCCTCAGTTATTTACAAATACTCAGCCGTCAGTTCTGATGGCTGAGTGTTTGTACCCCACTCTCCATCCTGACTCATTTGTCAGAGGAGGCCAAGCGGGGTGGAGCAGGAGGAGAGCTCCAAAACCAATTAAAACTTTAGTACTTACACTAAGGGCCGGTTCACACCAGCTCCGGTGCGTTCCAGCACGATTTGCTGCTGGAACTCACGGGAACGTTTCCTGTGTTCAGAGGCGAAGTGTGTTGAAGTCAATGGCACCGCAGCCATGCCCCCCCACCGTCGCCCACAGCGTGATTGCCCGCACCAGAACGTGTGGCACATCAGTGCCTGTGTTCCGGTCCAGTGCAATCTGAAAAAATAGTGCATGTAGCTTTTTTCAGATCGCACTGGACCGGAACGCAGGAACTGATGTACCGCCCGTTCTGGTGAGGGCGATCGTACTGCAGGCGGGGGGCGTGGCTGCTATGCCATTGACTTAAACGCCCAACCACGCCCACTCCTGAATGCAGGAAGCCAGTGCGTTCCAGCAGTGAATCGTGCTGGAACGCACCAGAGCTGGTGTGAACCAGTCCTAGATGATTTTGCTTTTAAAAATACATTATATTCATTTTCATGGCATGGCATACCTTATTATATTATGTCATTTATACGTACATAGTTTTAAATCTGTTTTTAATATACAGGCAATAAAAAAATCCATATTTAAAAAAAAAAAGTTCCTCAAGGTTAGAATATGAGACCAACAAAAGGTTGAAATGACTATGATGGGTTAATTATTTTAACACCAATCATAGCCTTGTGGTAATTAATCACCACGTCAAACTGGTTCCTTTACCTGCTTTCCTCAATAAACACATATGGAAAGTCAGAGATATCACCAGCCTGAAGCTGGTGTTATTTAAGCAGTGATAACCTGTGTGGTAATCTTGTGAATTGACTTTTACATTGATTTTATAACAACAACAGCAGCAGTAGTAGTGGAAAAAACAACTGCCGTTCAGGTAGTCTGCTCTTGTCAGACTGATTGGCTGCAGTCACTATTCAACCAAGATATTTCAGACTGGCTCCTTTGACTAACGTTGATTGAAAAATCGAATTATGTTGAAACGGGTCCTGATGGGGCCACACACTGCTCGAATTTCGATCGAGTTAGCAGGGCTTGCCTGAAATACGAGCAGTGTTTGGCCAGCTTAAAAGGGAAACTCCACTTAAAAAGATAAAAAAAATTGAAACCATTGTAAAAAAATAATATTGCATATATAATTCAACGTCATTAAAAATTACCTTTCCATTTGAAAGTGTAGCTACTGTAATTTTCTAAAACTGTCAAAAAAATTCAATGCAAAATGGTGACCTACGTTCTGTACACAGTTGGTGTACAGAATGCCCCCAGAAATGTCACTTCCAGCTTTTGTGATTGGCTGACTGATTTTGACAGAAGTCTGCACTAAGATACAAGTAAAACTTTAGACATACCCTGCAATAGGAATTACATTTTTGGTGACAATGATGAGACAGTCCCTAAGGGCTTTGTACACAACATGTCCGGAAAATGTCCAGACCAGAACAGTTTGTTCCCGAACCAAAAAAGCATCCCAATGTATCCCTATGGTATTTCTGGGCTCGGTTCACACCAGCGCAGTCCGTTACGGTCCAGACTGGACCAATACTGCTTGTCTCATTTTCTCTGGTCTGGAATGCACTGAAACGCATGGAAATGCATCAAAAACACATACAAAGGCATGCAAACACACTGGACTGTACCTGCAAGCCCATTTTAAGTTAAAAAAATGGGAAAATCGCTGTAATAATGCACTGTGCATTTCCTTATTACACAGAAAGTCCGCCAGCTGATTATAATGAACCCAGACCCTCCCATTCAGGGATCAATTTGGAAAGGACATGCTGCACCAAACAGCTTTTTCTTCAGAACAGAAACATGTAGAAATCTGCAACAAAGCTTATTAAAACCCTTGTGATGTACACTGATCACCCAGATAGGATTGATTTTTCACAACAAAAGTGGAGTTACTCTTTAAGGCAATTTGTACGCCCTTTTCAGGTGACTCTTTAGAAATATCAGCTATGTGTAAGATGTTATATTGAGAAAAACAGACTTGCGCATTGAACTGAAAATCCCTACAGTTTCAGTCATCAAGTATTGGTCCATGCCCGGATGATTGAATGTCACTGTATGACGCAAAGGAAAAGTATAGCTCTTTTCTAACTCTTAATTGTGGGAGATATGTGGCCATTTTATAACACAGAGATCAGCAACCATCATTAGCCCAATGCAAGCCTTTGCCTACAGGGTGATGTACTTATTACTGCTCCAACTCCATTGTTTTCTTTGGCATTAACAGGACACTTCTCATTCCCGATATAAATAATACACTAGCCCTGCAAGCATTAGTGCAACCTCTGGCAGAGCTCAAAGGCATAACCAGTCCGGAGAGACAGCCCTCGTTTTCCTCTTCTTCCTGTCTATGTCAAGCTCCGAGCACACTGTCACTTTAGATATGTGCTCTGGCAGGAGTAATGTCTCCTTTGTGGAAAACCACCGCCATTTTCTCAGCTGACTGATGTCGTCCAGGGACATTACAGGACTTTCAATAATAAAGAGCAGTTGGGTGTAATAAGAACCAATAAGTTGAATGCCTGTCACTGCTTAGGAGAAATTAATTCTATTTAGGCGATCAGTCTAAAGGGAATCTGTGGTCAATTGCAATTGGTTTAATTGAGGGTTCATTTACACTGGTGCGGTAATGCATGTGTGTTGATGCATTACCGCACCAGTGTTAATGTGTTGCCACAACACGTTGTGGGAACGAAAGGCCCCACAACGTGTTAATGTGTTGCCGCAACACGTTGTGGGAACGCGCGTGGTACCTCGATGCGATAGTGTGAATGAGACCTTAAAGTAGAACTACACGCAAAGAGCAAAATAAACATATCGAATACACATTATGGGAGCGGTTTTACCTGCTACAAAATTTCTACTTCTCTCCATCCAGTCCTAAGGCTTACACAGTCCTACCACACAGCACAACCAGCATGGAGACCTGACCTTTCTGTGCTCCAGATGAGCCAAAACTTTTCTTTTTTGTTCTGACTAAAGTACCAAACAGTTAAAACCCCTCTCAGTTTGTTTTCTTCCTTCCCACTGGAGAGATTTCAA